GGAGAGAGATGGGGTAGAAAGGACAAAAAAGGAAAGAAGGTGGGAAATGGAGGAGAGGGTTGAGAAGGAGGACATGAGGAGGAGAGGAGAAACAATGTGCATTAAGCCAAAAAGAGGAGAAAGGATGGGTTGCAATGAAAGGTCGGAGAAAATGGAGAGACAGAAATAGAGAAGTAAAGAGCTATTCTGGTAATGATGTTGTTGCCATGGAGATGCTGTCCTCGCTCAGGCTACTCCACAGGTGCCTCGTGGGTATTTCTAAGGAACTGTGCTGATTGGAGGGGTTTATGGAAGAGAAGGCTATGGATTGGTTGGTGTACATGGATGTCAAAGGTCGTGTCATTGCTTCCGATTACTCTCCACATATTTTCTTATCCCCTCCTTTTATGTTCTCCCTCTGACGAGTCATGAAATGAATTGAAATAAAGCTAAAATGAATGAGGTGCATCAGTGAAAGTAAAATGTGTATCACACCTACACACTGTTATGTAGTAAATTACAAGTGCGTAGAGCGCTTAATGAAAGGGTTTCCATGGCCAAGCAGCTTCACCCAAGAGCTTACCACCATTGGACTCTAGAGCATTGGAGATTTGTTCTCTGGAGTGACAAATCACACTTCTTTGTCTGGCAATCCAATGGACAAGTCTAGATTTGTTGGTTGCCAGGAGAATGTTACTTACCTGACTGCACTGTGCCAAGTGTGAAGTTTGGTGGAGAGGGGATTATGGTGTGGGGTTGTTTCTCGGGCGTTGGGCTTGGCCCCTTAATTCCAGTTAAAGGAACTCTTTATACGTCAGTACACCAGAACATTTTGGACAGTTTCATGTCCCAACTTTGTTGGAACCTTTAATGAGCAAGTTTGGTGTAGAAGAACTTGACTGCACAGTGACCGCTACCCAATAGAACACCTTTGAGATGATTTAGAGCGGAAACTGAGCCAGGCCTTCTCATCCATCATCAGTGTGTAACCTCACTTTCTGGAAGAAGAAAACGCCCATGAACATTCTTCTAAACCTTGTGGAAAACCTTTCCAGAAGAGTTGAAGCTGTTATAGCTGCAAATGGTGGGCCAACAGCATATTGAACCCAATGGATTAAAATGGGATGTCACTCAAATTCATATGCATGTGAAGGCAGACGAGCAAATTCTTTTGGCAATATAGAGTACAAGAATTATTTCTCAGGGTTGGGGTCACAAGGGCAGCAGTCTAAGCGGAGATCCCTCTCGCCCGACCAGCTCCTCCAGCTCTTACTGGAGGACACTAAGGTGGAGGACTGAGCCAGTCAATTGACGTAACATCTGCAGCAGGTCCCAGGTCGAGCCTTCGGCCTTCTCTCAGTTGGGCATGCCTGAAAAACCCCACCTAGGAGCTGTGAAGGAGGCATAATTGTTTCCTGAATGACCTTAACTGGCTGTACTCTGAGCCCCTCCCAAATGACCAAGCTCCTCATCCCATCTCTAATGCAGGGCCTTAGATCAATACCTGGCTGCTCCAGTCCACACTTCAGAAAGGACTTTGGCATAGAAAAAAATGCTTGTAAGAATGGGTGAATGAGGCATTTTGTAGAAAATGCTTTGAGTGCTCAGATGGAGTAAAAAGCTCTGCGTATTTACATTTACTCATTCAGTATAGTTACTGAAAGGGTAAAAGTAGTATTGGGTTAAGAGTTTGTTTGTTTGTTTTTTTTACTTTTGACCCTAATACAGTCATTTATGAGAACAGAAGCCCCACCCACATACTGTTCAAACTTTCTGTTTACAGGGGTAACTAATCAGAAGAAAGCTAGCCAAAGGCAAAGGTAAACGAAACAGCTTGTTCAGACAGCAATAAATTGAGGGACTGCACCAAGGCCTGCTAAGTTTCACTAGACCAAAATGCAGGAGAGGACAACAGGTAAAAGGTAAAGGGTTTATTTACAACAAACAGAGAACAAGTTTGACAGAGGTATCCAGGTGAGTGTTGCAAAGGTCAGGGGCAGGCGTAATATCCAAAAATACACAGCAGAGATGTGACACACACGGGAGAAATCTGCAGCAGAGAAGAAGAGATACTATGTAAGTCTTTGTCAAGAACCAGAATTACTAAATACAGCTGAGAGCTTGAATAAGGATTATTTTCAACTCTGAATCATTAAACATAATCCAGTAGAGTCCATGAGTAAATATCCAAAGCTTTAAATGAGTACAATGCTCCAGTGGTATTAATATACTCATTAGCAACTAAAAGTATTTAACATAGTTTTATAAAATGAAAAAGTGAGCTTTACGTGCGAGTGTTTCTTTAATTGTGACATCATACAGCACCAGTGGGTGGAAGTACAATCTTAGAGTAATAGAAATGTGACAGGTTCAAACCCACAGCCGTAGGAAAAAAAGAAAAAATCTATTCATACTGAAGGAGGGTCAAAGAGACTTTATTATTAGAGTGAAAGAAGAGGGGGAGAACTGGGCACATGGGTGTCATTAAAAGTTAGAAGACATTAAAAGATGAAAAGAAAGGAAGGGGATGGAGGCTGTAGAGGACAGATTAATAAACAGCATGTCAATATGTGGCGCGCGCACACACACACACACACAC